GCTTCGATGTTTTCGACTTTGATGCTTCCTCCTCTCTCCTTCCCTTTCTCTTTTTCTTTTTCCTTCACACGGTTGGGCATGATTTCTCTCGACAGGTACTTACAGGGGCTCAGATTCCCTTTTTCCTCAGACAAGAAGCCTCAATCTTCTTTCTTATGCCTTCCTCTTTGCTCGTCATGCTCTGGATCATCGACGACGCATGAAAGGTGACCCGCTTGCCTAGTTCCTCCATTTTTTGCTTGCGACAACAAAGCCACTCTCCACTCTCCTCTGCTCGCTCGTTTGCTCTCTCTAGCTTAGCTTATTTCTTCAATTCTAACGAAAGGAGGGAATAAGTTGTTCATTATAATTTCTCGAGAGCATCACATATGTTTTGAACAAATGTTGTGAGGGGGATTAATTTTTTTTTTTATTTTTGTATATTATAATCTTTCTTACAAAAAAAATCTATCCTCAAAATTTGCATAATCTACTCCAAGCCTCATATCATTTCTGTTTAAGCAGTTAAAACCTAAATTATCAAAAGATTTCAGGAAGAATTTTAAATCTCATTTAATAAGATGAAAATTAGATAAAATGAAACAAAGGTTTGATATAAGATAATTCAAGTCGTCTGAAATAGGAAAACATAATCAAGGATAACATTACCTCTAAAACAAAGTAACATAACTAAAACAACACACCCTCTAGAATAACACTCCTATAACATGTGATAAAACATAACAATTATCAATTCCTAGTAGCATCAACATCAACAATAGGTTCTTCAAGCTCACTACTAAGAAGGGACGAAACTCCAGGTCGAACAAGTTGCCTTGAGTGAATTTGTGTAGGAGTTGAAACTGTAGACTCTATCCTTGTTTGACCACTTGAAATCTTCTAAGAAGGCACTCCATTTGTTTTTTTGTTCTTCTCAGGTTTTTTAGCAAAGTTAATGGCAATATCTGACTATGTGAGAGCCTATCAAACATTCTTCTTTATGAAGTTTTTCACATTTGGCACAAGTGACTACAATACTCCAAATAATGCCACCTTTGAATCTATCAAAATTGAACTTGGGATTCTTCTCATCAGATCCCTTTGATTAATCCATATTCTCTCTTTCATCAATGCTCTTCCTCGTGTGCCTCTTTACGCTTTAAGCTAATAATTGATTCCACTCTTCTAGCTCGGTCCACTCACATTAAATAATCATCGATCCTCAATGCCACCAATAGTTGCCTGATCAAATCCTTCAAAACCAAAAGAAATTTATCACAATTCTATTTTGCAGCAGCTATCAGCTGTGGTGCATACCTCGATAGTCCGGTAAAATCTGCTTCACACTGTATAATTGTCTTCCTTAATGAACATGTTCTACATCTGTCTTCGAGCGGATAGGGGTGATAACCATTCTCTGAAAAGCTCTACAAAATCCGCCCAACTTACCATAATGTTAGCTATATCCTCAAGCATTTCTTAGATGTTGTCCACGCAAACATCTTTTGACTTCTTCATTCAGCAAAAATGTAGCTCATGACACTTCTTTCAGCAGGTCATATCATGTTGTCTAGTGTTTTTCTCTATCTTTATCAATCAGTTCCTCTGCTTTAATTGGGTCTTCAGTTCCCTTAAACAAAATTGGACACAGATTTTAAAATATATTTAAATACTTATCTATAACAATTGTTACATTCCCATCAAGTTGCGGTTTGGACTCTTGAAATAATTGTGTCATCGCCGCCATCATTTGGGTCAGGACATTAGTGTTCACATTTATAGTAGGCAACACTTCTTCATTATCTAACGGACCACCCTCTTTTGTATTCTCGGGTGCATCCATTTTTAACATAATTACTTAAGAATTAACTTAAAATTATAATTTTTTTATTATTAAGTTATTTGTAACATTCATATTGGTTATTTTATCAAGATTGCAATAATTAATTCTAAATCTTGCTCTGATACTCTTTTTGTCATGGTCCGGCCTAAGGCTTGAAGGTAACCGAAATGGGTACAAAACAGTTGGACGATAGAAATTAAATTTTTTGTATTTATTTTCTATAACTAATATTTAGCAATTGAAAGAACCACTAAAAAAAAATTAGAGCAATACAATTAAATTTACTTCATTTTTTTTATTATCTGCTTCTGCTATTTCATTTTTCTCTTTTATTATTTATCTTTTAATGAAATAGTTGAACTTGAAATGTTAGTTTAAAATAATAATGAACTAACCATAGTCAGCGAATACTTATACTTCAAAGTTATAATAATACAATGAAAACAAAATAATATGCATAGCAATTAAACTTTATGTAAATTAATCTAAGAGCATATGAATGTTTGTATTATCTAATATGATCATTCAAGGTAATTCTAAACATTCGTTATGTCTTATTATATCGTTTATATTTCAATATTTTTTTAATCTATATACAACCGTCATAGGAACACTGTCTAAAACATGTACAAATGAAGGTGCATCAATATCAATATTATTTTCTATTTACATGAACGGGTATCTTAGCATCCCTTTGCTAGTACCATAAAGGGGTCTACTCCATCATAGTTAAAGATGCACATACAAAAAGTGTATGTAATTCATATCATTCATATGTTATTTTCATTCATTTCTACATTTAAATTATGCATAACATTAGTATTTCTAAAAAAATGTATATTCATCATAATAATATGACTAATATCTAAAAGAGCGTATAAATCATAATAAAATATTGCAATCAGTTATTGGTAACTGTTAATTAATTCAGTTTAGAAGAAACAAAAGCTAATATAACTTAAAAAGCAAGAATACTTAGATTTTTTTGCTAATTATTTTCTTCACTTATCTCAATGAAATCTTATAGTCAAATGTATAAAGAATTATAAGAAATTCATTATATGTTAATCTTTTTATTCGAAGATAATTTGCTTTACTGTCTCATATAATATATTATTTGTTATCTTCATTTCATAATATAAATTTAAATATCTTTTTCAAACAAATTAAATTTAAGAAAATTTGAACAATAAAATGTTGATCCTTTAAATTTACTAGGAGTAAAAATTATAACATATTAATTTAACTTTATAATTATCTTATGTAATTTACATCTTTTAAATTAATCTTTAAGATTTATATTAATATAAATACATTTTTATTATGTAACTATTTATTATTATTTTTAATTCACATTAAATTCATTATATATAAGATTAGTTCCTAGATTTAATTTTGTTTTCAATTTATTATTTTCTGGTTTTCATTTGAATAAAATCTGTATTAATATTTTTTTATATAAATTTAGTTTAATTATTGAATAAAATTTGTATTAACATTTTTTTATATAAATTTAGTTTAATTAAAATAAAACTTAAATCAGTAAAAAATAAAATCAAACCTTGGTTCGACAGCACCTCCTGCATGTGAGACTCTCCCTGCTCACAATCGATGCACAAGTCACTCGATACTGCTTCAGAGCTTCAATGTCTTTGGCTTAGACTCCCCCTCCACTCTCCTTCCCTTTCTCTTCTCCTTTTCCTTCTCCTTCTCCTTCCTTCACTCGGTTAGGGCACAGTTTCTCTCGATGGGAACTTACAGTGGCTCGGATTCCCTCCTTCTTCACACAGAATGCCTCAATCTTCCTTCCTCTTTGCTAATTGTGCTTGGTTTGTCGGTGACACATGAAAGGTGAGCCACTTGCAAAACTGAAATAATATGCCAATGGAAGATCATCAAATCTCCATCTTTTTTACTAACCTTTTAAATCTCCAAGGCTTGACTAATAATCTAAATTTATTTTTCTCAATCACCTAGTCATTTCTTTCTGCAAAATAATAAATAATAGTTCTATACAAAAACTTTAAATTAATAAGAAAATATTTAAAAAGAGAAAATATTTAGTTATTTGCTAATCACATGATCAATTGCTCATTTTTTTCAATAATTTTCCCCATAACTTAAAAATTTTAATTCAAGTGATATTTAAAGCTTAAAATTTTTAGTTATGATTCCATAGAATGAAATGACAAATATAGGGGCCATTTAAGATAACTTTTGATTATTTCTTTTTATTATTTATTTTTATTTTGTTTTGTTTATGCTTTTAATTGAATATAATATGTTTGATATATTGTAACAGTTTTTGCTGTTTTTAAAAATAGTCAAAATAACTTTTAGAAGTTTTGTATATTTATAAAAATAAACTAATTTATTTTTAAAAATAAAATATAAAATCAAAAGTAAAAAAAAAGTATTATACCAAACAAAGCCGGTGTTTGTAAAATACAATAAATTTAGCATTCTATCTTTTTTTTTCTTCTTCTTTTTTTTTTTCCTTTCTTTTTTTCTTTTTTACACGCCCCCAAACAGCTCATCGTATATGGAGACTTTGAAGCCATGACCTCATAGCTGAAAGACAACTCTCTACTCTCAAAGAGTGGGTTAATTTGGCTTTCAAATTTAATGTTATATTTAAATTAGATATTCTTTATGCTTTTTGTGGCTGCATTTTTCCTTGTCGTTATGACTTGGCTCTGCATTTCTGGTAGTGCTCGTCATCATAATTGGTTTTGTAACTTCTTGAACAAGGACCAACACGTTAATTTGTAAAATTTTTTGTAGTTATTTGGACAAAATGAGATTAGAGTACAAGTTACCGATAAATTATAATTTGAGCATGATATTCTCCTTATACTTTCTTTTCCTCTTCATCCTTTGTTTGGTTCAAGTATAAGATTTTAAGATTGATTCATTTTATAATCTCCTGAGCGATTTATAAAATGGACTTTTTAAAAAACATTGTAAAATTTGCTCGATTCTACCATTTAATTGGTGATGATTAATAATCATGAATTTGAAGTCCCGACCCCTAAAAATTATGATTTCATTTTCTGAAATGAAGTGAAATAAAGAAACTGTAATTATTTTGGCCATTGGTTGCATCTCATGTTAGATTCTGAAATTTTTTAGCTAAGTTGTTCTTCCCGGATGCATTCGTCATATTTTAATCTTGCAGATTGAAATGATATACAAGATAATCGTGCATATGGCGGCTAACGACAGAGCTATAATAGCTGAAGGCAACTGTGGGTCGCCTGGAAGCATCAAGGTCCTCCTTGGTGAATGCAATGTAGATGATTCGTATGCCTAAATGCTTTTGGCTACACAGCATCATTTATCGTTGGTGGTGTTTAGAAGGAACTATTTGCGCAGAATACTTGCGAGATGTATTTGCCCAATCAAGGATATGCCGAAGACTACATCTACGGTGCATGCTTATTTATTTTACCCATCGAGATATGTTCTGGAGTCTTTAATTATCAACGAATATATATATCAACTCTTAATATATTAGTAAAATAAGTATTTTACTTAATGGTTATATGCATGATCATAAATGTTATTAGAGTTTGATGATTATTAATGTAATAATAAACCTTGTTAGTGCTGTTATATATGAGGGCAGTCTTTAAAAAAATAGTATTCCAGTTTTTTTTTTATATATATACATTAAAATTGAGATCTTTAATTCAATATTTGCTTTACAGTTCTTTTTAGTGTAAAACATTCAAATTATATCATTTTGATCATTTATAGAATGCTTTTAATCTTGAGAAAAGTTGAATTTTTATTTATCAAGCTATATTTTTTTTATTTTTAATATAGATTTAAGATGATTTTCTTATATATATATTTTGAAAACATAATTAAATAACTAGTGTGAAGTATTAGTTTATGAGATATAATTTATTCTTTTATGAAATTAGAAAAAAATTCCTTTTCAAATTTGAGCTTGAATACTAATGGCGAGCATAATTTATGTTATATTCATAAATTAGTTATGTACATGGTAAACAATTTTTAGAATAAATAAATATTTAAAAAAAGTTGGGGACTTTTACATACCACCTCCCAATTCCTTTATAATTACATATCTAATACTTATATTTTGATATTTACATTTATAACAACCAATTAAGGTTATGATTACATATCTAGAGTAACCTTAGTATTTGCTTATTTTATTTCATATCTACTGAGATATATTACATATCTAGAGTAAGCTTAGTAGTTGCTTAAATTCCTTATAATCTAATATTAGTTAATGTCATTTAGATTAATAAGCTTACATTTGGATATCAGAAATAGTAAGAAGCATCTATATAACCCCAATATTATTCTAGTTATATAACCTTAAATAGTATCTATCTTATAGAAGATAAAGGTACATTAGTAGTTAAAAATGTTAATGAATGCTAATACTAATAGCTAAATATATTGTTGTACTGCAAATTTATGTTTTGCTTGTAATTTTAGATTCGTCAATATTGGTTATGTTATTTGAAGTTTAGCTTTTTTTAACATCCTTGAAGTTCTTTCTTGCATGTATATAGACTTTTTCTTAATTGCTATTGAGAACAGGTTTGACAGTGGATGTGAATGAATGGCTTCTCTTAACTTTTGAATTTGGGGGAAATTAGATTGAAGTTAAAAAGCAAGCTAGGAGAAGATACCAAGGTGGTAAGCAAGTAACTATTAAGGTTAAAAAAGACTAACTAGTTTCTTTGTTCTTAGATAAGTGTTTGAAGTAATTTGTCCATATCATAAAGGATGTGGTTTTTGAAGTGCGATCAATACTATCATGCCTGTAGAACTTCTCTAAAAAAATTGTAAGTTTACTAACAATGACGTTGAATTGATGAAAAAGTTCCAAAACTCTAATGGAAGTGGCTTGCTGAGGTTGTTGCTATAATACAAGAAAAAAAAAAGGTTATGCGTATTCACAAGGTACAAAAGGCAAGGAATGATAATTAAATAATAGAGTGATGTTATCCAAACTAATTTGTTATTAATAACATAAATTTTGAAGCTGGTAATGATAAATATCTTATTAGTTAAGGTAAGGATGAGGGAGCTTTAGCAATTGATTCATGCTTTAATAACTCAATGAGTTCCAAGCACATCGTCTTACACGCAACTGTTATAAAAAAAAATTTGAAATCGAGATCAAAGCTAGTAATAGGCTCGAGTTTTAGTTACATGCTCACAAAAAAGATGCCCTTGGAAAGTATATGAATCACGATGTGCAAATGGTCAAAGCATTGAATCTAAAAATTAATTTCAACAAACTTATGCCTAGGAGTTATTTAATTGGAAACAAACTTATCACATCTACTCGAGTAGCTTATGGGATGTAAGGCAATATGAAAAAGTATTCAAACGTGCCTACAAAATATATTAATGATAAATTTTAATTGATACATGAGCTATCATCACCATATATAAAATTATGATGCTCAAAAGAATAAGTTTGCAATATCTTATTTGGTGTAGTTGATGATAATTATTAATGGGCACATACATTAAAAGTATAGTTTATTAAGAAATTTATGCTCCCATAAAGCATAAAGTTATGCTTATGATGATTCTTCATTTAAGAGATTCCTTATAGGTTATAAACGTCTAATAAGACTCAATGCAAGCCACTTTAAATTAAAATATTTGAGCATTTTGCTATTTTCCAAAACTTTGGAAAGCAATATTAGATTTTTCATAGCTTATGCATTTGTTGAATTTGAATTAAGAAAATTGTGATAATAGTTTTTAATAAGTTGGTTAGAGAGGTGGTTTTAATCTAGATGTAGATTCATTGAAAAGATAAAAGATATGATTATTTTGAAGAGAAATGAAATGTAGGTTAACTTTTATGGACGCTAAGAAGAACTATTCTCGTAAGCCTAAGAATATATAAGAGAAATTTTTACAAGAAAAAAAATTAATAATTCAATGATTAACACTACATAAGGCCAACATTGGAATTCAAAATAAAAGATAAGAAGTTGACATTGAAACTAAATAATTTAATTATTGATTGCGGCAAATAATAAATTTGCCAAGGATTCATGATTGTGTTAATTGGTGACAAGGAACATACTTTATGACATGCTTATGTTAATGAACAACCTAATAAGGCTTGATGAACGCAATTTTAAGTGAAAATACTTGGGGATTTTATTATTTGTCCAACATATTGAAAGAATAATTAGTTTTTTTCCTCAGCTTATGGAATGATTGAATTTGAATCAAGGAAAATGTAATGATAGTTCTTAATAAGTGGGTTAAGGAGGCTAGCGATAATCTAGTTATAGAACTCATTGACCTAAAAAGGAGTATGATTATTTAGAAGAGATATAAATGGAAAATAAACTTAGAAGGATGGTGAGAAGAGCTAGTCCCATAAGCCTAATAATATAAAATAAAATTTTCTACAAGAAAAAATAGTTAATTGTTAAAAAATTAGCATTATAGGACTCACATTGGGGTTCAAAATAAATAATGAAAAGTTGACATTTAATTTAGAGAATATAATTGTAGATTAAAGCAAATGACTGGTTTAGCATAGATTCATGTGATTATACTAATTGGCCCCAAGGAACATCTTCTATGACAGTTTATGTTGACGAACATGACTATGTTATTGGATAATTAAGTATGAAGTAATATTTTCTCTAATGAACATATGCATATTTTAATTTGATCGTAATTTTTCTTATTATTGTAAAAAAAGAAAATTTTATAATGGTGTAATAAAAACTCTCCTTCGCAAGTAACAATTAATTATAATAGATAGTGATCTGAAAATTAGTATTATAAAGACATTAAAGCTTAGGGGAAGGCATAAGAAAAGAATATTAAGAGTTTCTTAGAAAGCAACAATAACGAAATAGAACATATTCATAAAAACAACCATTGTGAACATTGGAATTGCCACAAAAGCACTTAATGTTTTTATAATACTAATTTTGAAGAAAGATAATGGAGAGGCCATTACTATTGATTCAACCTCTTATATTGAGACTGGAGGTGAAAATTGAGGATATTATGGAAGACAGTGTCATTGATTTAATCATTCATATGGAGATTGAAGATGATGTGGTAAAGGAGACTAAAAATGTTAGTCATTTGTTGGGAGAAGAAAGATAATGGAGAGGCCATTACTATTGATTCAACCTCTTATATTGAGACTGGAGGTGAAAATTGAGGATATTATGGAAGACATTGTCGTTGATTTAATCATTCATGTGGAGATTGAAGATGATGTGGTAAAGGAGACTAGAAATGTTAGTCGTTCACTCTAAATTGCATGTAAAGAAGAGGTTATCCTATTTCTTCAAGAAGAGGCTATTTTATTTCTTCAAATAATATGTAAAAGAAATGTTTGCCCATTGATACACCAAAATAAAGTGTTATTTTCAGTATACATTTAATACTTATTTTTTGTGATATTGCACTTTAAAGAAGGGTATTTTCATATTTTTGTTGTAGGTATTATCACTTTTAGGCATTTAGAGTAAAAGTAACAATAAGAACAAAATTTGGAGGAAAAAAAGCGAATTTTGTGATTTTGGCGTCTGAAGAGCTTGAAGCGCCACTTTACAGAGAACTGGCGCCTGAAGTGCCATTTTACATAGCTGATGCATGAAGTGTCAAAACCCAAAACAGTGCAGTCTTAAGTAAATTGGTGCCTAAAGCGACAGAACCAGCGCATGAGGTGCCAGAGATGACTTCTTATGAATTAAGGCGGTTCGGGACAAATTTTGCACAAATGTCGAAGGGACCACTTGTTCTAAACACCCCATATAATGATTCCACATGATTCTCCAAAAAGACATTTCTTTTAAAACTCAAAATCCATATCTTTGCATAGAAAATTCATAAAAATAAAATAAAAATACCCTCTTGCTCAGTGAATAGAGGAGAATCATGTGGAATTATTTTCACATTAATTTGATGCATAAATTATTTTGAAAAAATGAATTAGGGTTAGGGGTTTTTCAATTCTCCATT